GTCGAAGTCAAAATATGTCATCTTAAAGTCGCCAAAATGTTTGTTCCATTTTGCATTCTTCAGGACAAATGCTGCCTTTCTTTTCACAAAGTCTTCTCTGAAACAGAACTGCTTAGAAAATTGTGTGAAATTGTTTAGCCAGATCTCCCAACTTTTATCACTTTGGCACCTCCAGAACTCTTCGTAAATCGGGGAGTGCCATCTTCTGGTTAGATATTAAACTGCAGGAGAAATAAAATGGGTTCCCTAGAGCAGTGTTTCTCAACCTTGGCAACTTGAAGATGTCCGGACTTCAACTCCCAGAATTCCCCAGCCAGCGAATGCTGGCTGGGGAATTCTGGGAGTTGAAGTCCAGACATCTTCAAGTTGCCAAGGTTGAGAAACACTGCACTAGGTCTTACTTCACTGTCATTCAGACAGATGAGGCCCAGTAATGATCAGTACTAACCACCACCCCATAACGACGGAGCCAAGCCATACAGAACCATGGATATTCTGGGTTTCCACCGAGCACCTGGGGTCGTTTTCTTTTCCATTCAGAGTTGAATTTTGGACAGCAATGTTATTCATATTCATTTTTTTATCTGCAGAAATAAAAAGAAATGCACATAGTGAACATACAAGGTCAAGTAACTGAACCAGAAAGCTGAATGAAGAAGTTGTCTCAGATCACAGGCAATTCCACAGCATGCTGGAATGTTATTAAATTGGACTTAAGTTGTTTTGTTTTTGTTGTATTATTATTTTCTCTCTCTCTGATAGATATGGGGAGAAGTATATGTTGGTTTTCTCAATGTTGTATGCCAAGATAATGTAGATGGTTTTAAGTACCATGAAGTATGATTTGTATCTTGAGAAATAACAATATTCTATTTTGTCTCAGAAAAAGTATAACTCTGTTATTTATCTAATGACAAGGCAATTACCAACTTATCATTATGGATGGGCTAAGGGAAATGAAAAAGTCTAAAATGCTTATGAAAAACTGATCAAGTGTTTGCTCACTGTCACTAAAGGCATGATTCCCATTCCACCATATCCTCTTTCCCCACCCCCACAAAACTCCATTAAAATAATTATTCTAGTGCAAGTGTAATAAACTTGGAATCCTCAGGTATGGTGGAAGTGTAGCTCTCAAATTCCTCACCATTGATCATTCCTGCTAAGACTCATAGGAATGAATTCAAGCATAACTGGGGTGCTGGTGAAGTCTATATAGAGCCAGTTTCATTTAGTAGTGAAGGTACCAGACTAGAAAGCAAGAAACCATGATTTCAAGTTCCACCTTGGCCATGAAAGTCAACTGTGTGACTTTGGGCCAGTCCCTCTCAGTCTCTCTCAGCCCATCCCAGCTCACAGTGTTGTTGTCAGTTGAATAGGGTGCGAAAGGTATATTGGATATGTTCGCCACCTTGTGTTATTTATAAAAACAATGAAAGAGGTTTGTGTGTGTCTGTGTGTCTGTGTGTGTCTGTGTGTTTGGATTTATGCAACAAATAGAAATCCACTGGAATAACTGAATAAAACAGTTCCTTTGTTTTCACACAGTAACATTATCAAGTAAAAAGAAGAATATATTCTCATCAAAGGTATATTTCCAAATGTACTTTTCCATCACCTCTCCAGGGTATTGGGAGGAAAGGCATCTATAATTCTAAATGTTACAGTTAATGGCTGCCTTGAACTAATTGTTTACCTGCTCCAAATTATCAACACAGGCAGAATAGAAATCCTGCTAAAATATTTTTCATTGAGAAATATTTGTTGAATCTTTTTATAGGTAAAGTGGAACTTTAAACTCTGCTGTTTCAATTCACAAATGCATTAAAATTTCTTTTGCCAGGTGCATGGTCCAAACTTCAACTTATATCTAATCTAAGTTGTAGCTCTTTATTTACAGTAGCAGTCTTTATAACAAAGTTCAAGGTCCATACTTGCATATACTGAGTGTGACTAAAAAAGCAAATGGAAAAGAAATATTTGGAAATCTAATAACTCTTATCTAGAAATTTGTAAAACACACTGAATATTTGAATACACAAGACTGATATTGTGTTACATGGATGTCAGAATTTTATGGCAGAAGTCAATCGGGATAATTCATATTCTACTACTACAAAATTAAATCATAATAAAAGGCACTTGTTTTGGCTAGGTCACCCTTTTAACTTGGTGTAAAATTTGATGTAGAAGTCATCAAATTTGATGCAAAGATATAGAAACCATTGTATGGTTATGGATTTCATAACCATCATGGGCTGAAATTTGATATCATTTTCCCTTACTTAGTATCACAGCAAAACTAGCTAAAAGCAAAGACATTCTCTTCCCTTTCCTTTCACTTTTCCTTCTACTGGCTTAGCTTCTCTTTGGCTGAGGATCATGTGAACAGGGCATGGAATATCTCAGCTCTAGCAAATTGAACAATGAAATAATAATTAACATTATTTCTCCACTATTTCAATCACCGCAGTTATATGGATATGTTTCAGACATACCCCTGGTCTTCCTAAACTGAATTTTTAAAAAATATATCTGTATCTGAGAAAACAACAAACTTGTAAAGTTTACTTTTCTTCTTCTCATTTTTCTGGATTTGATAGGACAGAATCACAGAGCAATAGAAATTTTCAAATATGTTTATTTCTTTTTAAGAAAAATCAAACCAAATCACACTGAGTAGCTGATCATGTAGAGCAGGAATGTCAAACTCAAGGCCATGGGGTGTTTAGGGGGCCACCCTGGAAACAGCAAAATTCTGGTCCATGGTGCCTTTGCCCACGAAACCAGAGTTTGGGAGGTCTGCAGGCAGCCTTCCTGAGCTTCGTTTTTGCTGACAGAGGGTTGCAGGAGGCTGTCGCACCCAAAAATGGAGCTCAGGAGCCCATTTTTGCTAGCAGAGCACTCGGGTCACCACAGGTACCCCGATATGAGTGATGTCAAGCTGGCCACACCCATCCTGGCCATGCCCCTCCCACCAAGGTCAAACAAACCCTGATGCAGCTCTCAATGAAATTGAGTTTGACATCCCTGATATGGAGAGATCTGATGAATAGAATGTTACTTTATACCTAAGCATTTTAAAATCTGGTTATGGAAAACTCAGAATCTTAAAATAAACTAACAATGTTTGTGGGAGACATAAACAGTTGTCCCACAGATTCTTTGGTCGCTACTATATGTTGTTTATAAAATGCCCCATACATGAGTTTAAGAAAAGCTTACCAAGCTGTTTAATGGTCAGTGATGTTGTATCTGTCCGTTTCTGGACAATATCTTTCCAAGTTCCATCTGGGTCTTGAATCCATTCCACTGCTTCACAATACAATTTCCCTTGATCTGAATGTTTAAGTTTGATGATGGAAAATTTATATTCCGTGTCCCCAATTTTCACTAGCCTGATGTCTCCTGTGTTGAACCGCTCAGTGTAGGAAGGGCCTGGAAACAGAATGTATTCTTTGGACAGAGAAAGAATGTTCTGAGCATTTCTGTTCCTTCCTTCTGGTATTACATACCAAGCAACAGAAATATGGGTATGTTGTGCTGTTGCCGCCGATACTTGACAAATAAGATCCAAAGAATCGCCTTCATTTCGCAAGAGAACCTGTGTCTTCATGGTGACAGAGAGTGTATTTGGAATTACTACAGAAAGAAAAGACCAATTGCAGTTTAAATTCTTCAGATAGAAATCCCTTTTGGTAGAGGGGATTGTGGTGTCCTAGTCAAAAACTATGATAACAATATACTGATCTTGAAGGATTGTGAACTTGTATTCAAACAATCAAGACTAGGATGAATGACAGTACAATGCTAGCATGCTAATACTGTACATGATGCTTCTGGCCCTCATGTTTTCTGAAAGAATGCATGGGAAACAACCAACAGTTAAGGGTACAATTTGTTTAATGAGAAAAGGAGGAAGATGCAAAATGAACTTTATGAATTATATGATTATAAGTTTGTTTCTAAGTAGTAAAACAAGAGTGAATGGAGACCAAAACCCAAGTGACCATTCCATGCAACTTCTCATTGCCCAATTGTAGGATGCAAATTTACATTTCAAATTCTGCCGTTTGCAGTATTGATTAAATGATGCTTTTTGAACTCAGAAAGTGGCTTCTCCGTTTTCCTTGGAAGCTTTCTCTAAATTATATTTTTTTACTGTTTCCTTTTTGTAGTTTCCTTAGTTTCTGTTCTGCTTAAAATTTTTCAAATCCCTTTCAACTCTTTCAATTCCCCACTAATTCTAATTCAAAAGCACTAAAGGTAAAAACATATCCCAATATTTTTATTTCAGACTTCCAATAATGGACCACAATTTTCATCTCTAAACTAAAACTAATGTGACTTAGCAACAGAAATCCCATTAAATGAATGTGACTGATCATTAGGTGAAAACCCATCCCTATCCAATACATTCCCTGCTTGGTCACTCCCATGTCTGAGCCTCCTTAAAGTCAGGTATTTCCTACTATCCCACCCTGCTATCTGACTCCCACTCTTTGTCCTTTTGGCTCCCTGCACAGCAGCATTCTTCAACTGCAATGGCACTGTGGCTGAAGCAGAGGCCCAGGGCCTTCAGCAGTTTTAGCTGCCTGCCATAGTCCCCAGACTCCACTTTAGCCCTAACACTGCGGGCATCACCACCATCCCTGAGGAGTGCCACCTCAAACCCCCCACTCTTCAGCTGTAGTACTGGGGCTGAAGTAGAGGCCCAGGGCCTTCAGCAATTTTAGCTGCCTGCCATAGTCCTCAGAGTGGTAGCAGCTAGCTGAGATGGCTGAAGGAGGACCCAATCCTTTACTTTAGCTCCAATGTCACCAATGCTACTACTGCCACTATGCAGGATGGCCAAAAGGATACAAATGGAGTCACATAGGCAGATGACAGAATTGAAGAACCCCTGCAATCATAAATGTGGATGCCAAGACTGAATTATTTATGTTATTTGTAAGCCCTTTTTATTATTTTTACAAATATCTCAAGACAGTGAATATATCTAACATACCTTCTTCCCATTTTGCTCACAACAACAATCCTATGAAGATGGATTAGTCTGGCCCTAAGTCACTCAGCTGGCTTTCATGACTAAGGGAGGACTTGAGCTCACAGTCTCCTGCTCTCTAGTCTGTTGCCTTAACTATTTATATCGAACTGGCTCTTTCTGATCAGTTGACCGCAGGAATATTGCAAAGGCCATGATTGCAGGAACACTCTCATGGCCTTCAGAAAAGCTGTTAAAACCTGGCAATTCCAGCAGGCCTGGGGCTGTTGACCTCATTGTTGAGGTCCAGCCCCGATCATAACGGATGTATGTGTGTTGATTTTAACCTGTTTTTATTTTCATTTTTTATTATTTCTTTTTTCCTTCATTGTAAGCCACCTGGAGTCCTCCGGGATTGGGCGGCCTATAAATCGTACAAATAAATAAAATAAATAAATAAACAAAATGTAAGAACTATCTGTCAGCACAGCTGTCACTAGTAATGGTCACTGTATAAATGGTAGTTCAGTGAGGACCACATGTACAATCACTGAAATATATAGTATAACACATTGCTTATGTGTGCTGCAATTTTCAAATACTATTTATCTTTGGGTCATCTGCAAGAGAAGTCATTTTCATGAAATACCTAAGCTTTACTGATATTGTGCAGTTACAATAAAAAAAAATATTTCACTGAGTTGTATCTGATTCTTGAGACTACCTGGATAAGTCCTTGCAGTTTTCTTACCAAAAGTTTTTTTAAAGGGGGTTTGCCACTGCCTTTTTTAAGAGCTGTGACAAAGAAGTAATTAGCCCAAAGTCATCTAGTTGGCTTTGTGCCCAAGGCGGCAGTTGAACTCACAGTCTCCTGGTTTGTATCTTGATCCCTTAACCACTCACCCAAAAAACTACCTCTGGCAAAGGTATTATGCCTGTACAAAAAAAATCACATCCAAATTCCAATGCAAATTCTGAATAATTATGGAGGAGATTTTGGGATAATGCTTCCACCATAAGTGTGGATGGGCTAAGTGTGACCATGGCTTCTTGGGAAAAGGGTAAGATTGAAGTCATTGATCAATTACAATGAAGCATAGTCAATCATTCCAAATTTATGACCAATGTACCCACACATTCTTTCTTTTCCCAACTAAAGTTAAAAGAGAATTAATTCTTTAGTTTTGTCTGAAAGTTACAGGATATAATTAAAGGCTGACTGAATATTGATCACTAAGAAGATTGTAATCTAGCCAGATAGCTATCGGATCCCACAATAGTATTATAATGGATGTAGAATTAATTAATAGTGCCTCACGTATAAAGTTAACACTGAAGTGGAATTAATTATCTAGTTTGTTCTGAAAATTTACAATTATATATTACCTCACAAGTACATTTCACTCTCCATGTGGAATAGAAAAAATCTAGTAGAATAAATCAAACATCCAACATGAAAATTTCTATAGACTTAGAAGTGAATAGGCCCCCCATACTTAGCATACCTGAGATATTTGTTTTAGCACTGTAAGTCCCAAGATAAATCTGTTCTGTGTTGGGTGTGTGGCATTCATATACACCAGCATCCTTGTCCTTGAGGTCTTTGATATGCAGAAGAACAGAATCTTCCTTGGTCTTTTCAATGTAGATTTCCTCAGCTTTAACACGCTTGGAGTAGAGAGCATAAGAAAATTCACTCCCTTCAGTGCTGATGATCTTCAGCTCCGTCTGTGGATCTGATAGCTGATAAGTGGACCACTCAAAATTCTGTTGCACCGATTTTTTGTAGCCAGTGACATTACACCAAATAGTGATGTGTGTTCCTCTTACTCGATAAAGAGGTCCTTTCTGAATAGACACCATGTGGTCTCCCATACAGGGATCTATGAACAAATTATTAAAAGATAATAGAATCTGTCCAATTTATTACATTAAAATATTCAAAAAAGGCATTGTCCAGACCCATGAAGTGGTAGATGAGAGCAAGACAGTTTAAACTTTCCAACAACTATTGTTAGACGGTAATGTAATGCAAATTAGAACATTTGTGACATTCAAAAAACTTGCATTAGAATTCAAAAATACTATGAATTCTGCTTTAGTTTTATTAAATAAATCCTTTTATTTTGATAAACTTATATTGAGTTTTAATTTTGTTCTCTATGTTCAGTCTGTTTCTTCCTGTGCATAGTCAGGCAACATTTTAGTTTTTGAAATATGACGTTATCATATTTATAACCAGTAGTAAGATATACTGAAATAATTTAAAAATTAATCTTTATAATAATTTAATAAAAGCTAATAGTCTAGAAACTTTTATTATGAAAGGCAACATGCATTTATAGAGTTGTCTCTCTATAATCAGACAAGTACTTCTCCACATTAATTAATTTTGTAAAAAAATATTTTTAATTCAGAAAAAAATAAAGTGAATTAAAACAAAATAATGTGTATCATTTAGGAGAGTTATATATAATGCTGCATAGAAATGTGACATTCTCGTTAATTTTGATCAAGATTGGTTTTATTTCCAAGAAAATAAAAAAATAAGAGGGAATAATTGTATAATTTTCATAGACTAAGAGAAAATCTTTCAGAACCTGAAACTTATTAATTACAAAAAAGTCACAGGATGTGTCTGTGTGTGTGTGAAAAATATGTTAATTATTTATGGCTTTTGATAGGATGAAAAGATATAATTCTTTATCCTGCTGTATTGTTTAAACCAGAGCTCAAAACTGTTGCAAGATCAAGGTTTCACTCCTATAACCAGAGATGAGTCAATCATCTATGTTTGATCACTTGATCTGTTTAATATTGAATCGAGACTATCACAATTGGCATTTTGAGATATGTTATGGAACCAGTTGCACATCTTGTGTAGTCAGATATCTTGATTGAGGAAAGCAGTTGTTTTAACCTATGGAAAGTGATTCCTTTGGCAGCTGGAAGGTATGTAGATACAAGAAGTTACCATAGTATGTCCTGAGAGTTAGAACAACTCTTTGCTTAACCCCTTTTGATTATCAGTCTTACAGGGAAGTCAAAAGAGCCCTGATTACTCTGCTTTTTAATAATATTACAGGACTTACCACCCAACAATAAACACAATTCCTATCATTTGACACCAATATCCAATTAGTGTTGTGGCATATAATAAAGCTCATAGTAACTAAAAGCAGCTGAAGAAACTGCCCTGTGTCTCCCTCCCACTGGATTCTTCAGGAAAGATTAACCCCTTCTACCATTAGAAGCACAGACTTAAAACT